GGGGGGGCGGGCACAGTGCCACCTCCTGTCCCCAGGGTGGTCCTTTGTGTCTGGTTTAAAGGTCGCCATTCCCATTCACGTGGGGCTGACCGTCCGGCTGACCGTCTGCCGAGAAGGTGGCCTGCCCAGCCTCCGGCAGCGGCCACAGACGGTTCACACAGTGACTGTGCCCAGATGAGCCTGTTTTAATTCTGTGTCGCAACTCAGGGGACGCACTGGTGGGGAGGGGCTCCTGTCAGATGTGTATGCGGCTCTCAGGATCGTGTCTTCGGGGCCGGCCTGGGCCCCAGAGCTGGACTCCGAGCCCACTGTGCATCTCGCCCGCAGGACCCGTCTGTACGGCGCTGCCTACGAGAGGCCGAGGCGCATCCCTTCAGCCAAAGGGAGGGTGCTGCAGGTGGGGGGTAAGCTCTGCGGGGCAGGTACCCGGGGTGCCGTCCCTGGGCTGGCAGCCCTCCCACCGAGACAGCCCCTCCCGTGGGTGTGGCGGCCCCACCCCCACCCACACGCCAGCGCTCGGGCTGGGGGGCCGGCACAGACATGAGGCCCAGAGACGTGTTTCCCTGGGCTTAGGCAGGCTCTGCTAAGCCTGGCCCCAGCCCCGCGCCGGCTCACCGACTTCCCGGGAACCCGAAACCCCACACGCAGCCCTCCCGCCCCCTCTGGCGTTTCCTCTCCAGTGGAACACCCTCAGGCACCTAACTCTACTTGGTTTCTTTTGAAACTAAGGAAGGTTCTAGAACAGTAGAGACATCCACCTGCTGTTTCCTTGGGACCCCGCAGGCGATCTCCACGAGCCCTGAGCACCAGCGCCATTTCTGAAAGCCGTCGTCCTGCGCGACCATGAGCTCTGTCCATGGCCCAGGACTAGACCCCCGGCCGGCCCTCCTGGTGCCGCGAGGTCGGCCCAGCCGTCTGGAGCAGACTCCCCGCGCGGTGTCTGCACTGCAGCTCTGGAGTATTTTAAACCTGTAGTTGCTGTCTCCCCGACCTTTGGGGACCCCTGCTTTACCAGCCCATTCTCTGGCCTGGTGGGGCAGGTCCCCCCCTGTACCCCAATGCAGCCAGGCTCCAGGGGCTGCCTGCAGGGTCCTGGCAGTTGTTACACTGGTGACTCGCAGGACGGGCCTCGTGGACACACAGCCTGCCGCTCAGGAAGCAGACCGGGCGGGGGTCGTGTGCAGTGTGCCCACCGTTTGTTACTCTCATAAGTGCCCAGGGTCACGCACGAAGGGCTGGTCTGCCAGGCGTGTGCAGGGCAGCGGCGCTCTGTCTGTCTCCACAGGCTTCTGCAAGGTGGCGCGGGTGGCCGTGAGCCCAGCTGCCTTCTCCCGCCTGTTGGTCTGCACCCAGGAATTCCGTGAGCAGAGCCAGGCAGAGGTGTATAGAGAAGACGTGGCCCTGACCCCAGGCCTGGTGAGGCTCAGCCCCCGCCCCGCTGTCAGGGCTGCCACCACCCTGTCGGGGGGCCGGGCAAGGACTTCCCCCAGCAGGTGGGGGGCTCTGGCCATAGGACCCCAGGCGCTGTTGGACACCCAGGTCGGCCTCCCTGCTGAGTGGGGGCCGATCTGTCTTTGGAGCCCTGAGCCTGGTCTGATGCAGACGCCTCCGTGGTGTAAGCAGAGGAGACCAGTGGGGCTAAGGATGCCAGGGGCTCTCAGAACAGTGGGCGAGTGCGACTGGCAGGGAACCCTTCTGCAGGGGCCCGGGGACCCTGGCTGCAGGCAAGCGGCCTCCTGTGCTTATGAGCTGGGCCCCGGCCACCAGGCTGCTTCCAGGAGTGGCCTTTCCATGCGGGCTGTGCCCTCTGCTAACCAGGGGCGTGTTGTGGGTTCTCCTCAGACGCCTTCCGACCACAGGCTGTCAGGGCCGAGACAGGGATGGGGGGACTCTGCGCAGCGGCTCAGCGACACCCTGCAGGCCCTGGAGGAGTACCTGAGGCCGCTGCTCCCCGTGCTCAGCTGCCCGGAGCCCAGGTGCCTGACGGGCTTGTTTCTGCAGCGCTGCGGCCGGAGCTCTGAACCCCTGTGCAGCGGAGTGACTGGCTGGGGAGGCGGAGGGAGAGGCAGGGCTGCTTTCCTCAGATACTGCTCACATGGAAGCGAGTCTCGGCATGGCACCACAGGCCAATGAGCTTCTCCCCACGCCAAAATGGGGGCTGCGAAGGCCCCTTCACCTCCAAAGTGCCCGACTCTGTCCTGTCTGTCATCGGGAAGGAGTCCTGCATCCTGGACTGACTTTTCTAACACCCCGCCTCGCGCCTGTCCCCTCTGGTCTGGAGTGTGGGGGAGGGGAGAGCAGCTCTACCCTGCTGACTTATTTCTGATAGGAAACAGGGGCCAGGCACGTGGCACTTTCCTCCTGAACCCGTTTGCCCAGGCCTGTCGCCCCGTTGCAGTGAGGCCGGTCCCTGGAGAGCTGGGAGACTCACGGTGCTGCTGTGTTCATGAGAAACGGCCCAGGGCGATGCTCTTTAGTTCTTCCTGCCTGTGATGTTCATGGGCCATTAAAGCCTGAACGTGTGCCTTTGACTTTCAGAACACTGAGTCCCACAATCATTGCAGATTTGGGGAAATCGAAAAGCAAGGACAAGGAACGGAAGCTGTCGCTGCCCCTGGGTGAGTGACAGCTGCAGGAAGGCCACCAAGGCCCCGTGTGACCATGGTTGTTGATGGGCAGCTGGGTTGGGATGCGTCCACCTGTCTGTGAGAGCCGAGATAGGCTAGACTCGCTCCAAGCAGCTGCAGGTGGGCCTGTCTCGGAGGGTCTCCCAGGCACCGAGCACCCCAGCGGGGGATGGTTCTGTGCATGGCCCCTGACCAGCCCTTTGAGGTAAACCGACACCCACCTGTGTGCGTGGGCCACAGCACAACGTGTCATCTTTTACACCATTGCATCGGCTGGCACCATTTGAGTGTATGCGTCCCAGATGACATGAGGGCAAAATGGAGGGTCCATGGCCTTCCGGGTCAGCGGCCTGCTGGTTTCCTCAGTAGAAAACAAAACGCGCTCGTGCTGCCTGAGCCAGGGAGGGCAGCTGGAGGGCAGCCCGGCGTCTGGGCGTCCACAGCCTCGTGGTCGTCTGCACTTCCAGGACAGACCGTTTCTCACTCACTGAGCTTAAACCCGTTTGAAATGTGCTGACTACACCGTCCAGCCCCACTACAGGGGAGAGGCACTCAGTGTCCACGAGGGTTGCTCTCTCACTGGGCACCTGATTTTATAAATTGCTCTTTTAAAAGGCATTTCACTCGTCTACTTTTCTTCCTCCCACAAAGAATTGTGGAGCAGAGGGGGACGGACGGGCCTTTCCAAAGCCTCCGACTTCCTCTCATACTGAGCTGCCCGCCAGCGGAGCA